TCACGTAGTCCCACCAATAGGCTGACTTAAATGGCCCGTCTCAAATCTGCATTCCAAAAGATATATTGCAAAAACCAAGTTTTTATTTGAAAATTTTCTTTTTTTCTTTTTTTTTTTACCGATCCAAAATTGGGAGAGGGCGAATAGACACAATTCTAAAACTGGCGTTAGGTATTTTTTTTAAAACAGAAAATTACGATAAAGTTGATAATTTTAGTATTATAGTAAAGATCTCGAATAAAATTCTGATATTTTGATCAATTCCAAGAACCAAAAAATATGTAAAACGAAATAGATCTTTATCTTTTTTATTTTTAGGAACTACGACAAAAGCTAAAAGTATAAATACGCCAAATACACGTACATTGTTGAATTAATTCCGTGTTGACGATCTAAGTCTGCAATATCACTTCTTTTTGTACGTACGCTGTCATAACCTTCTTTCGTCATTTGGGAAATAGGATATTTAAAAAAAACATATATGTCATCAGTAAATATTTTGATATATCATAATTATACTTAATATGTATTTGACGTTTTGGCAAAGATTTTTAAACAATTTTTTCCCATCAAATCTCAATTAGTAAACTTAAATCTGTGATTTGCGTTTTTGTCATTAAAGTAAACTTTTAAAGAACTAAATAATTTCGATTTATAAAAGGAGTGAAAGCATTTAGCAAATGCCCTTTACTTCGACCATTAATTACCCTATTCATAGTGCATAAAGATTGGATCTCTAAGTAAGTGATTTTTGAAATACTTTACTATGGGCGAATTAAGGTAAGGTTTGCGTCTCCCTCCAACTCATATTTTTTTAAATATGCACACATGCTATATATCAATTTATTCAGGGACATTAGCTTCATCATTTTATATGATTTTCAAAGATATTGCCCGTCCCATTTTTTTAGTAAAAGACGCCAAATTTAACGTATTTCATACTTCACCTCGAATATCATTTTCCTTGAAAAATTTGATTAAATTTCATAAATTATTAACTTTTTAATTAAAATGACTGAATTACTTATAATTCATGCTTCTATTTATTTCAACATAATTTTTTACAAAAATGTGAAAATTTCGGCAAATCGCAGAAGATTTTTATTTTCCTTGATAAAGTGAAATGTTATGGCAACAAAATATAAAAATCAACGTTTTACATATCTACCGATTCCATCAAAATCCACGCTTATTCACATTTGATCATTTTCATTAATTTGAACTAAAAAAATATGATGTCCCCAATATTAGGTTAAAACAGGGAAATATTATGATGGAAATAAAAATAAAGGCAGTCTGCTTCTAAAAATTGATATCACCTTGCAAAAAAAAAATATAGAAAAAATTTTATTTTTGATATTTTTGATGAATAAATTGGCCAAAAATATTTAAAACTGCTGTGCTATATATGGTCTAAAAATTTATTCCATGCAAGGTCTAGTACTTATGGCAATTCTTTACATCTGAATATCCTGATGAAATTGTCCATGAATTATAATGTACCTTTAGAAGTACATTTATATATTAAACAACTTATATGCAATTTAAACAATAAAGGCCTAAATTTTGAACATGCAGATTTTTTTATTCCAAAATAGTAACTTCTAGAAATCTTTGTACATGTAGCAAAATATCTTTATTCAGTTATGGCTGGTGACTGTCATTATATATTTTTTTTAAAAATGTACATGCATCCAAATGAATAATTGTTTAAATTATTAAATGATTTGAATCATTCATAAGAAATGCTATCTTTAAAGTTATATTTGTTTGCAAAGAACTCTCAAATAACTCAGGGTAAAATTATTGGTGCCACACTGAAAAAATCTTCAACAACATTTTTTTAGGGGGATAAGAGCAACCATCAATTGTCGCTCGGGAAAAATAAAGACTAATAAAAAAAAATATATGGCCTTGCATTAAAAAAAGGTTTCAGTTTGGTAAAAATTTAATATATATGTGTGGAAAAGGCCGAAACCAAACATTTTTTAAAGACCTATTTCTACACTTCATGGACATTTGAAATCATTGGATAGTAAATCAAAATTGAAATATCAAAAACAATAATAAAAATGAATTCTAAGTGGAATCAATTCATACTGTTAATGATACAAGAATATGATTTCAGAAATCAAAAATGCATGACTATATTCAAAATATTTCAATTAAAAAAGATAACAATGCTACAGTGATAGATGATAGACCTTGATATCCATGAAATTATAATTTTATAAAAAGGAGATTAATTCTTTTTTAAAATCAAAATACATTAAAAAATTAAATAGATATTAAATGTATACAATTTTAACATAAACTATATGTACTTTTAGAGATTTTAATTATTAGTATATTAATTTATAACTGGCTATTTCCTACTAAATTAACAACCTTACATTTAGTATCATCAGTAGATATACCAACAACTTATTACATATTAGGTCATTTAACAAAATCTGCATACCAAAAATATATTTTCAATTGTTCATTGATTAATTTCCGGCAATTTTACAAATTTTAAAAAATTGGACATCATAAATTAGACAACAAGCAACCTTTAATTAATACCTATGATGTATATTTTTTCAAAAACAAATGCCAAAGATCAAATAAAGATAAAATATCACATACACATATGTTTAATCAATATGTTGGAAAAAGCATGTATATAAATAGGATTTGATACATGATTTTATTTTAAAATCTATATAAGACATATAAAAATATGTAAAGAAACAACGTATAAAATCAGAAGTTCTTTCCAAATAAATTTTTATTTTGAACACTGGTTCAAAAGCAAGAGTTTATATTATTATTATTATTCTATGAAAGGTATTTGACAATATTTGGTTGAACACAACTCTAAGGAAACACTGAAGTACTTTTTTTGAATTCTTACTAACCAATTCTAACCCATAATCCAAATTTTATGTGTTCATTTTTACAATAACATTTAAGGAATTCTCGTTTAATATTTTTGCACAGTTATATTCACTTAAATATTTTCCAATATAATCAATGAAGAATCAATATGAAATATTTGTAAAATTTGCAAAGATTTTTGAAAATGCAAATTTATATTGAAAATTAAGTTTTGTTGAAAAAATCTGTTTTTCTTTTTTAATTAATTATAAAATTTTTAATTAAAATCCAAAATTTAAAAAGGTAATTTACAATTGACTACCTGTTCCAATAATGTTTTTTTTTAGGCCTTAAAAATTGATTTTAATTTTCATATTATAATGAAGATTTTTATTTTTTGGCAATGTAAGTATTTTTGAAATCCTTGTACGTTTATTGATCGTTTTTAAATCCGTAAAGTAAAAATGTAAAATGAATAGTTTAATCTTTTTTTGATAAAATACTAGGGGCCTATCAAAATCAAATGTCAACATCATCAAATGCACGTACATTGTTGAATTAATTCCGTGTTAGGACTGCATATAGCTTAATTTTTTACGATACTCTCAGGTCATTCTTTTTTCTTTCCCATTCTCACTAAAAAAAAATTTTATGTATGGTGATAAAATTTTCATATATCATCACAATACTTAATATATGACTTTCTTTTGACGAATTTGCAAATTTTTAAAAATAAACAAGTCCTCCTTTAAAATTCAACATATATAAATTTAAAGGCTTGATTTACTATTTTTGATTTGTTATAAACTTTTAAAAATCCTTTGTTTTTTAAAATAAGTGAAACCAAACATCAAGGTTGACAGCATTAAAATTCGTTGAATGCTTAGCATATCTGTTTAATTCCCTGTTTCAAACGCTTTAAAGATCGCAAACTAAGTAAGATGATTATTTGAAAACGCAAACCTTACCTTAAATAAAAATGGCAAACAAATTTAATCATTTACAAAAACAATACAACATGCCGTATTTTATTTCAATTATGATATCATACATAAACGAGATAAAAATAGACAGGTGTATATGTTATTTTAAAATATATAAATGCATGTAAATATAACTTCATTTGAAAAAAAAATAGAAAAAATTCTTTATCCTTTAAATATTTTTACATGAAAGAGATTAAAGCTTTATTTTCTTCAAACCTTGTGTTATATATGTGAAAAAATGCTGTGTTGGTTCTTACTTATAATTACGTTTCTCATTTCTTGTTTGAGATTGAAGACATTATATGTGCGTGTCCCCGTTGGAAAACTAACGGCGATACTTAATTATAAGGCAAGTTAAATGATATGCAAGGATAAGACATAAAGTATATAGTCAAAGAAGGATTGTTTCATTTAATCAATATACCTGAAAAAAAAAACTTGCGTTACATGTACCCTTTTCAAAATTTTGGCTAGAGTCGTCGTTTTTTTTTCTTAATTAAAGTGGATCAAGGTCCAATGTCAAGCTTAAGATTAAATGGTCAAATGATACCAGTAAAATGCCATGTTTTAAGATATACAAGAGTAAAATATTAAAATCTTATCACCAACTCTTAAGATATATGGGCAATATTTTTCAAAAGTAGGTCAAGGTCAAAAAGTCACATAATTGGTATAAAAAGAAAGGTATTGTCACAGAAAAAATAAAGACCCTAATAGCAATTGTTTAAAAGATCTTGCAATTCTTAGGTTAAAGTAAAAATATCAGATATATCTATATTCATGGAAAGATCGTGGCAAAATAAAAAACAGTTGTGTAAAGTCTAAAAACTCTAGAACTAAAAAGTTTCATCCAGGCAAAATTTCTGTAGTCTTTGTTCAAAAGGAGTGCCCAAATCCAAGGTCAAGGGCAATAGGTCAAATATCTAGATACCGAAAGAAAGCTAAAGGAATATTCACGTTAAATATACAACAATAGTTTCACTCTATCAAAAATTTAGGAGAATATTAAAATTTTCGTGAATTAAAAAAGAGACAGACTGACGTATGGACACGGCAAAATAGATACCCAGAATATCCGCATGTTCTTTAATTTTCTAAAAAGGAGATTAATACTCAATTAATGTGTGCTGACAAGGAAACTACATTAAAAGAAGTTTAAATATATGACGGTATAAGAAGGATTTTCTTAGATAATTCTTTATGAACTAGGTGGGTTAGAGTTTTCTTTGTCTGTGTATTTATGAACATTGCTTTCCCGAAAAATATCTGCTCGTCTGGTGACATGTTAGATTTTGTCACTAACTCTACCATTTCCCACAATGCATCACATTTAGGACATTTAACTTCTGCGTTGCCTCCAAGTATATTTTCTTTGGTGTAATTGAACAGATTCTCCGGCTCTAAAAATTATGAAAAAATATGGAAATCATAAATTATTTCAATTGCTTTAATACGAAAAAATGATATATGATTTTCTAATCAAATTTCCTAAAAGATCAATTAGTCTAAAATATTTTTTACTCATATGTTTAATGTTTTGTTGTTGGATAAAAAATTGTATAATATTTTGATACAGTGACTGTATTTTAAAAGGTGAAAATTTTAAAATTAAAGAAACAACGTTGATTGATTATAATCAATTGTATATTGTTTAAAGCCGAGTCGGCAATATCTAAGTCATACTTCACCTTTGAACACTTCACTAATAAAAGCAAGAGGCCTTTGGGCCACATTGCTCACCCGAGTATCCCATATATTTCTATGTAAAACTTTGATTCCCTATTGTGGCCCCGCCCAACCCCCAGGGGACATAGTTTGAAAAATTTAGAATAAACACTAACCGAGAATAGTCCACATAAGTTTCAGCTTTTTCTGGCCCTTTGGTTCTTGAGTAGATTTTTAAATGATCCATCCTATTTTTGTCTTTTCTTGATTATTTTCCCTTGTGATGAGACTTGTATGGCCCTTCATTTTATTCATTTATTGATTTATTTATTCAATCATTATACTTCATTTATTTTCCCCTTTACCCACGAATGCTTTGTAGCAAGTTAAAATGGGCCAAGTGCGTCTTTAGAAGAATTCAAAAATGTGAAAAGTTAACAGACGGACGTCGGACAAAATGTGATCAGAAAGGTCATTTGAGCCTTTGACTCAGGTGAGCTAAAAAGTTTTTTTTAGCATTGAAAATGATTTCAATGAACAGACCTGCAAAGATGTAGATATCTGAAGTTTCTTATCAACTGTATGTCTTGCTAAAGACGTTTGGAAATACCTTGTACGGTATAATGACGTCTTAAAATCCGTAAAGTAAATTTAACATGTACATGAAATCTATTCTTTAGATATGATATTTGGTTTTTTTCTTCCAAATTACCTGTAAAATGTTTGCAACTCATTCTGCTTTTCTGAGATGCTCCAGTACTGTTTGATATTACATCAAGTTTAGGTTCTTTGCCTTCGCATATCCTTCCAACTGATCTTTCCGAATTTCCAATCATTACTTCAATCTGCTTCCTGTTTTCAAGCTCCGTGAACGGAGTTTCATCTTTATATAAAATCCCTTTATCTTCCTGCACAACCCAGACATTTTGCTTTTTTTCAGAGAGCGCTATAGATAAATTATCTCTAAGCTCAGAAATGACTGTCACATTCTATAAAATGCAATAGAAATAAAAATTATGCAGGTTTCAAATACAAACCGTGTAAAAACACTATATAGACTATGGGAAAAGCCTTTGAATATAATCCTTAAGGTAAACCGTACATGTAGGTTAACAGCATTAAAACTTCGTGAAACTTTGTATCATATTTTGATTATTATTCCTTACAATCATTTTGGGTAATGTCGCCAAACTTGATGAAAAGTATGCAAAAATTGTAAAATGTATTGTAAATCAACTTACACCCAAGTCCTTTAATTGTTAACATATTACATGTATCTGAAATTTCTTATCATGTTTTCCTACGTGGTTTTAATAATATATTTCGTCTATTTTGCCACCGCTAGTGCATAGTGCAAGATGCTATATTAGGTTAAATAAAGAAAAATAGCGTTTATATAATTGCCGCTTGTTGATTAGAAATGTCTTCAAAAAATATTTAAAAGACGTAGACAAACGTTCAAAAACTTTAAAACGTCAAGACGAAGTGAAATAAAAATTACTGAAAAACCCCAAAACAATAAATATTTCTTCATAAACTTTTCTTTTGACTTTCGGTAAATGTGTTTTCTTTTATATTGCTGAATGCAAAATATATCATCCGACATTTTCACAGAATCTTTTATTAAAAATGTCCCATTGTGCAGCTCCTTTGTGTTTCGAAGGGACAAAAATTTGGTCTCTCCCAAGGCAGAAAAAAATAGACTTTGCCATTGTAAACATTCGGGAAGGGGTTGATTGGGTTTTGGCTGTTTTATCATGTTAGATCAGTACATGTACCTAAAGTTCTACTTAATGCAGCCCTACAATTTGCACATTTCAATCGGATTTTGGTGAAATATTCTCTGACATCACAGGCGACAATTGTATGAAAGATAAATGAAAAGTCACTATAAATGGACTTATCAACGACTAATGTAGCTTTATCATTAGAAGCAGAAAATATGTGTTTGATCAGAAAGAAAATAAAATACTGTGAAATCAACTTATTTTCGTGTGGGGTATTTTTCGTTGTTTCCGAGGTATTTTAAGACCCTCACATTTATGACCACGAAATGTAAATATTCATATACATTACTAAACATTCTCCAACCACAAAATCAAATCCCCAAAAACCAATATTTTTCTTCAAACCTCTTAAATTTGAACCCACCAAAACATGTGATTTTACAGTGATTTTACGGTATCAGAATTTCACTATGTTATATAGAATCTATGAATGCTTTTCTCATTACTAATTGATGATAAAAAAAAAATTGGATTAAATATGATGGCCACCAATATCATGGACAAAATGACAGTGTCTAATTTGTATTGGGAACTCCGAAATATTTGTCGGTCAAAAAAGTTAAAATAGGAATTGAATTCACAATATAGCATATTTAATTTTAAGCTTCAGTGAAAGTCTCCATGAAGTTTATTTAGTTAAATAAATACAGTTACGGATAAGAGCTTGGTATTCCAAAGCATAAAAAAGCAAATAACAGATGTAAAGCTGGACGGGCTAACATTCCAATTTGTTATAATATTCCTTCGCTTTTACTGCCTTATACAGTGTAACTATAAATTCCATTTCAGGCATTTCAATCGGGGATATTTCGAATTTATTGAATACCACATATACAGAAATCTAGATACAATATATATAAAAAGACATTAAGGTCCATATTTGGTATTTTTTACATAATTCAACATATGGAAAGTGATATGTTTTTGTTTTTCCTACTGTCAATGACTACAATGCTAAAGATACCGTTTGAAATGTGTACTACTTTTTTTGTACTAAAGTTACATGTACCTTTACGCTGCATCTTCCTTGCAAGCCAGAGAGCGTCCTAAAATCCATCATTTTATCATTTTCCTCATCATCATCTGCTCTTTCGGAAGTTATTCTAAAATAATTTGGTATAAAAAGCATTACACAATCATTTTTAAAGCAAGAAAATCATGAAGATTTCTTCGTGGATAAAAACTAATATTCCTGGAGGTCAACTCCAGAGGATGATTTGAATTTAGCGATAAATCTTAAGAAACAAGCTTGGCGCGGTGTCATGCTCTTTTCCCTAAGCCCATATTGCTAGAAAACTGTTGCCTCGTGTAGTCAGGTGATTAGTACATAACATAAAAAACAAGAAAACATTGACGTAACCATCAATTGTCGCCCGAGAAATATATATAGTAAACAATGGAAATGAGTCTTGATCATGAAATCGCTTCGATATGTGTTTATCTATCAAACAAAGACAGTGTCATTTTTAACTTCAATTCCTCGAGTATATGTTGCACCTGTCTTAGATTCTGCTGTGCTAGATATTTGGACTGACGCGGGAGTCAATCCAAATATCTAGCAGAGCAGAACATGCAGAATCTCAACAGGGATTACGATATGTGCGAAAAGGCATGCGTCTAATTGATGGAGACGATAGTCGCGAATACAGAATACATAAACATACAGAATATACAATAATAAAAAGTATCAAGCTTGTTCTATAACTGTCAAATTTATAAGTTTCTAAATGATTTTGCATTGCGTATTAACAGACTACATACAGCACCAATCAGGCCAGCTTTAAAAAGCAGTCTCTGAATTGCTGTGTGAACGCTATGGGACTGCTGTAGAAAGCATACCAAGCAGCCCAATTCATCCCCGAGATTACTGTCTTGCGCTTCTATGTTTACTGGGTGAAAAAGGTTCAGAGTGACATGTTAAATGATGTATTCTGAATTGCATACACTCTATTGTTGTTTTGTTTAATTCTAGCAAAGAGGTGATTTAAAAGAAAAATTGAACATTAATTCTATAAAAATTTTAATAAAAAGTGTTGGGTATAATTACTTTATGTCTTCAGGGCTTGTAAATTTTCACTATTGAAAGCTAGAAGTACTTGTAATGGCAGTAATTTAAGCTATATCCTACGGGCCTCTTCGCTCATCTGGACACAAATATGCTCGGTAAAACACAAATCAGTCCAATATTTAAACTTTTACAAGGATAGGGGGCTTGAAATTTTGAAATCAAAATAAAAAATGGCTTTGCTGTTCTTGAGCTGGAGAATTTAAACTATTTCCCTATATCTGTCTTTGTTTAATAAAAGTCCTCCATTGTGCCTTAGGATCATGAATTGAACAAATCTAAATCTACACCCCGATATAATGACTTAAACAAAATCGAATCTACTTTATATGAGAATGATTTTATTTCAAGGTGACTAAATAGAGCTTTATTTCTCTTGATTACATTTTTTTTCCATAATATCCAATAAAAACTTTGATTCCCTATATTGTGACCCCAATCGAGCCCGATGGGGGGACTCGAACATGATTTTATGTAGACTGTAGAGAAGGTTTCCTACAAGTTCCATCTTTTTAGCTTGGTGATTCTTGAGACGATTTTATAAAATACCATAAAATCTTCAACTTTTCCTTACAACCTCCCCTTGAACGAGGGACATTGCTTTATTTAAAAAGTACGCATTAAGTAAAGAAGATAATATCGGGAATTGTGACTAAATATGTTGTTGAGTTATTTTTTATTTACCGATTTGCTTCTTTTGTTCCCTTTTCTATTGTAACAGCTCTGTGAGGAGTTCCTGAAAAATCATTAATAGTAGACTGCATCTGATCTTACCTAAGGCAGATGCCAAATTTTTTTTTCATTTCTCATTGATGTTTCTTTGTATCACCGTTCATAATATCATCATCTTGTATTCTCTGATATAAGTTACGTACCCTTGTGCAGTATTTCCTTTGATCAGCAAATTGTCTTCCAGCGTATGATCATTACATTTCTCTAAAGTATAAAATATTTTCAAGAAAAAGAATTAATATACAACTGTTTCTTCTTTGATACAAAATTATTAATTTTCACGTGGGTAACTTTTTGTTGTTTTAGAGATATGGAGGGAGCCAGGAATTCATGAGCACCAGAAAATGTCAAATATATTATGCATTGCTACTTAACACTTTTCTAGCCACGTGATAAAATCACCACATATCAATATATTTTCTTAAACCTCGAAAATTTGCCACGTATTTTAAAATACATTTATTTGCCTATTGAAAAAGAAAAAAAGGCGGCGCTTTAATTTATTCAAGCACATATGTTTCATGTAGTGTTCATTGAATAATTTTGTTTTTATCTATGATCGTTTACAAATGTAACATTATATGAAATCAGACATGAAGTAGAAAGGCGCAATAACATCTCTATTCAGATGTTTAATTTTACCCCTTCTTAATGCTAAGATAATAATAAACTAAATTTCTATCGCAACCATACAGATTAATTCTATATTCACCAGTGTCCTTCCGTCTAGATCTGCACCAGTCAAAAAACTTTTTTCTTTTAAATACCAAGACTATAATAATGGGCAGTAGAAGAGTTGTCATCACAAAAAAGCACAGGAGGCCAATCAATGCACTGTTGTCGCTATGTAACAAAAAAGAACATTTTCATGGTACTTTAAAGAAGCTTTTTTTGCCTTTTTAAAGTCTTAAGTATCCGAAGTATCAGAATGTCGTATGAGCAATAATCTATTGCTTAATTTACATTAGCACAAATGTCAGTAAAAGGCATTTACAAAATATAAAGTAAAAAAACAAACAAAATAGTTTGACTTTTGTATCTAAAACTGTCATTTTTTTGTCCATTTATCTTCCAAAAAATTATTTTCTAATTCATTTTTTTATACATCGTTTACATTCTACGTCGTTTGGTCTAAACCCATGTCTTAACATTTAATAGCTATTTTACATGTACTTGAAATAGTATTTTCTTGTATTGGACAATTTTACTTAAAATATAATCATTACAAAAACTCTGATTATTATATTTCTCAATTCATACATACGATTCTCTTTCAGAAGCTGGTGTTTTCTTCTCAATGATTTTTGATGGTGTAGACTGTTGAAGATAATCATAGCATCCTTGATCTGTAATTATGAAATATTTATTTAACCTCTCTCCCTCGTTCTTATTCTTATACATACACATGCACGCACAAACAATTAAGATAATTCATATTTTGAATATATATCGCACAATTCTTTTTACATTTAAAGGATTCATTTGACAGAAATCTTGAAGGACACGGTGTGGAGAATTTTGTACAGTCCAACCCTGGGTCATTAATTATTCTTCCATCTGCTACACTGAATCTTGCACAAAACCCTAGAAAAATGAAATTGACATTTGAAAATGAAATTTTATTCCAATTATACAACAAACATCTTTACAGATAGATATGAAAAAGTTATAGGTTTCAAATTTTTTATATTATATCAATTAAGCATTCAACGAGGGCTACGATCTCTCATTTGTTCTGATCTACATTAAACTATTTTTTGTACAAGTTGTTTTATAACAAATATATTCCTAACGATATATAATTTTAATGAGACTTTGTTTGAATATTTTGAATTTTTGTTTCTTTGTGTCTATAAACTCTGAAAAATCATTAGTGTATTGATTCATTCTTTTAATGGATTTAAGCTTGACATGAACATTTTTAGGATTATAAATTTCCTTTACATATTGTACCATCATGTTTGCAGAAGTACATTTTGTTTGTTTGTTTGTTTGTTTGTAATGTAATCTTCCTCTTGCGAATGTTTCAATCATGAAGACGCAAATACTTTTTTACATACATTTTAAAATAAAAATCAAAATCAAAATATTTCCAAAATATATACTGTGAAAAAGACCCCCTTCCAAACACACATACACGTACGTACTAAATAAATAGATATTTGCTTACAGATTCTGAAAAGTATCATTAATAACAAATTTTAAGTTCTCAAGCCTGATTTAAAAAAAGGAAAATGTGTACATAATATGAATATAAACAAGATATATAGTGATCATTAAAGGTCAGGGGAAATTCTGGTAGGTCAAATAAGACATATGTCTAGAGGATAAATGATCTGCAAGCCAAGCAATCGGCTGTGACTTGAGTAAATTATAAGTTTAGCATTATAAACTGAAAACGGTGCATAATTTTAAGGTTTCGAAGTTTTAATGATTAAGGAAGCTCTAAACACTAACAGAAACTGATATTAAGAGAAAAATAAACCATGTAAAGATATGCATATTGAGACTTTTTCATTCATTTAGAACATAGGGTACGTGCCTTATTTGCACAGGAGAAAATGTTCAAAGACAATGGACTATTTGTGAGCAAAAATCACTGTTGTTTACTTACATTGGGAAAATTAATGAAAATAATTGATTAAATTTCTTACTCTTCGTCTTTCGTAATGCAAAAAATATTTAATTTATCATAAATTACATTGTATGTAATTAACGGTAAATACAATTTTCTTTAATCTTACATCTAAGGGAAGATCGCTCTAACTGCATAAAACTACCCAATAAATAGAGCTCTTTAGTGTGCAGTGTTAAGAGCGTCCTTAACAACAGACTGAAAGAAGACATAGTCAAAAAGACAATGATCTCCCGAATAACGTTACCTTGACCTTATACGTCAAACAAACATGGCTTGAAATTATGACAGACCCCCTTGTTACAAGTAACCTCTATATTTTCCTTCAATGGTAAAAATTTTGTTAACTTGGATTTTACATGACATACAGATTAAATACATACCTGTAAAATGACCTACCTGACATAAACCAGGATTGAGCACAGACCTCTAAATATTTTGTTCCATCCTTGTTCAAAACACAATGGTATACAAACTTTTCAGTCTCAGTGCAACTCTGCAGTGTTGCCAGTTTGTTGCACTGTTTTTGTTGTGCTGCTGATTCCCATTCTGTTTCATTAGACGGACACCTGGACACGTAGGATACAGTTGGTACGGTAACTGGACAGGACAGGCCAAGTGATGACTTTAAAACGGGGTAGAGATAGAAATTTAGAGGTGAGGGTGATATATTTATATGACCAATTTAAGAAAAGATATACTTACAAGTAATATCGTACTAATAGAGAGAAATATACTCGAAAGAAGAAGCACTCTCATCTTCAGTCAAACCAGAATCTGCAATAGAATTATTATAGCGTCAATTTGACACATGTTTTAAAATTGAAATAGAAAATTTCTAAAATAAATTTGAATTAAATTACAATGTACCATAAACATTAATGGCAAAGCAGGCAAGTGGATATGGAGCAATTTTTTTAATGATCAAGAAGCAGTTAACACAATTGTTTTATGATACAAAATAAAAATTGAACGGCTTTCTTATTATTTGAAGAAGTTTTTGTGAATATATATTCTTTATTGGAAATAAAAAAGACATACCCACAAAATTTAAATCAAAAACATCTTTACATGTGTAACCTAATAATACACACAAACCCACTTCTACAACAAACAAATAAGGCATTGATCATGATCTTCGAAAACGAAAGTACATTGCAGTGAGCTTTTAACCAATTTATTTGAAAACATTCTTGATGAAGGAAAATTATAATACTCTGTTTACCCTTGCAATAAACCTTGACGGTATTGAAGAAAAGACGTTAACTTGGTAAAAAATAACTGCTCTTTATTTCCATGTGGAGCAATCGAGTTATTTGACAAAAGGTTAAATTAACAATTAATTACATTTTGGGGAAATATATTGTGACAGTACCAATGTAGTAACTTTCTTCTCCGCTACTGCAATTTAAATTCATTATTACAATGTATATAAATTTTAATATACATGTACATAGATTGTATTACCTGGTTTGACAGAATGTTACGCTATGTTTAATGTACTTTTGATTTGTTAAGTATTTAGTTTATCTTTAAATCGATATTTCCATAAGAATTACACGCAAAAACATATCGTATGTGGCTATGGTGCGAGTATCTTGGCCATAAACAGTTGTGATTATTACTTAGTACGTACTTTCATCCTTTTTTACCGGACCAGCCTTCCTCTACGAAACTTGTTACGGTTGAGTAATCTTCATGGAGGGTTAAATAGACTGTGTATTATTTTTCTACGTACACTTATACAATATATTTCAAAATAAAGACTTAGAAGTATGATTATTCAAAATTATTTACTTGATACAATTTTTTGTAAAAAAAAAAAATAATAAATAAATAAATTATTATAAATTTGATAATATTTAAATGAGGTCTAATTTTTGTAAATTCATGCCTTTATAGAGTCTTTAAAATGAAAGTGATATTTACAGATTGAACTACGTCTATTCTTTTAAACATATTTTAGCCAATTTGCCTACGTTCAGCAAGACGTTGAATTAAGAAGGAAATGATGAGCATTCGGATAAACTATTGAAAAAAAAATCATATAAATTAAAGAGACTATTATTCTATTCAACTTAGTATGATTTGAACATTTTAGATCAAATATGTAGTGGAAAGAACACAGTTGAAAAAAAATATATAATGCATAAATCTCAATCAAAAGGAGAAGCCATCAATGGTTGTTTTATGAGTAATTAAAAATTGACGACTATTGGTTCAATATTTGTTCTGCAATAGAAGTCTAAATACTGGGTTCATTTTCTATCGTCCTACATCCCTGCTGCAATAAAAATCAAATATAACCCATATATTGAAATAAAAATAAACACTAACAAAGCTTTGCCACCCTTAATCTCAGTTGTCTTTAGTTTTGTTTAAACTTTTTTGCTTAACTCAGAAGAAGATTTTTTCAATTTCTAACTTGGAAAAATGTATTTTATCGGTAACTATAAGCAAATGTTAAGGTTACTACATGTATGGGAGATGTTTTGTCGTGCATTTAGCTCAACAAAAATACTTAAAGGAGTTAGGAACATAAAAAAGTCTCTCCTGTGGTTTCCTTCGTTTTACATTAAATTATTTATTAAATCACTGTCGTACATATGAACAATCTAGTGCAGTCGTCTGTATGTTCAATCATTCAGACAAAATCAATATTTTCAGTCATATATGATGTAACAATGGTTACGTATTATTCGTTACATGTTACATAAACAGTGTCATTTCCTCATGTGCACTGTTTTGTTTTTAAAATGTATCATTTTGTATGGAAATTTCATTAATTTAACTTTCTATTTCCGATGATATAGATAAGGGCAAACTATAAAAATGTATCCCTTTAAATCTTTATTGAGAAGTCTAAATTAAGAAGGAATGCCACACCAACTCTTTATTTCATAGATCTCTGAGTCAACCTTTTTCAACAATGGTTTCAGTATTGAAAGGTCGACATTAATAGCTCTTAATTATTTTATATGATTTTTTTTTGTTTTTTCAAAGAAAATGAAAAGGAATATGTACATCCAAACTAAATGCTTTCTTGTAAAAATTTTGCTGTAATTGAATGCATCAAATGAATACCAAATAAGATATGTATGGAAAAGCCGTATATATATTAAAAGTTTTAAATAAAAAAAAATATTTATGAAAATAAATCACATAATTTGTGAATATTTTTTAAACTTGTGGTTAAAATCTCCTTAAAACCCGACACAACTGGGGAAATTATGTTTGTTAATCATATTTATAAACGAAATTGAAACGAAATAGCCAAATTTGAGAGAAATTATTTTTTTTTATTTTAGCCAATCCCGATCAAAACTAGTGCTAATTGTAACGGGAACCGTTACAGATGTTCCCCAAACGCTCCCCAACTCCTTTTTGGTGCCATATTCCATTTAGGCCCTATCATATAAGACAACTTCTGTGCATTTTTGCCTTTAACAACGTTTTCCCAGAGGGATACCAATTATATTCAAATTTTAACATTGCAGGCGTGCGCATGTGAATGCACGTGCGCAATGATCATATCATCTTGTCTACAATTTTCTATATATTTAAATATACTATATATAAAACCATTTAGTCCAAAAGTATTAAAAATCACTCATTCAAGTGTATTTTTAATTTCACTCGTTCCAAATGCGTGCACGTGCACGTGCATGATGACCATACCTTCTTGTAGGAGGCCCTTATATCTATCTATATTCTAAATCCCATCCTGTTTGGTTGAAAACCAAGGGAATTATAGCCATTTCAAGTTTCGGCCAATCAGATTGCAGCACACGTGCATGCGCGTGATTTCATGATTTTTATCTAAATCATATTGTAGGATATCCCAATGCATGAATATGTTTTAAATTTCAAAGCATTTCGTCAAAAAACAAACGAGATATAGCCAATTCAAGTTTCAGCCAATCAGGTTGCAGCACACGTGCATGCACGTGATTTGTTGAATTGTTTTGTATATCATATTGCAGGATATTCTAATGCAAGACTATGTTTTAAATTCCAAAGCATTTCGTCAAAAAACAAAGGAAATATAGCCATTTAAAGTTTCAGCCAATCAGATTGCAGCGCACGTGCATGCGCGTGATTTCATGAAATTTTTTCCATACTGTATTGTAGAATGTCTTAATTCAAGACAACGTTTAAAATTTCAAAGCATTTCGTCTGAAAACAAAAGAGAAATTGAGATTTTTGTTTCAGCCAATCAGAGCAAGGCGCACGTGTATGCGCGTGAGTTCGTGCTAATTTGACAGTGTCATATTATCAACACTATTAATATATTCTTATGTAATGAGTTTCAAAGCATTTCATCAAAAAATGTAAAAGTAATAGCTATATTAAGTATATCAGTCAATTCACTCATTTCACGCGCACGCACGTGCATGCGTATGCGCGCAAAATGACCTTCGTTCCACACCTATTAACCCTAAAAAGGTTTTAGCTCAGTTTGGTGAACAGTTTCTGAGAAAACTCGCGGACAAAAAAAGTACCGGAGAAGAAATAAGAAAAAAAAAAAATAACTAGTGCTAATATTAACGGGAACCGTTACAGATGTTCCCCAAACGCTCCCCAACTCCCTTTTAGTGCCATATTCCCTGTAATATACTATATATGAAAGCATTCAGTCCAAAAGTATTAAAAATCACTCATTCAAGTGTATTTCTAATTTCATTCGTTCCAAATGCACGCACGTGCGTGCACGTACATGATGACCATACATTCTTGTAGGAGTTCCTTATATTTATCTATGTTCTGAATCCCATCCTGTTTGGTTGAAAAACAAGGGAGTTATAGCCATTTCAAGTTTCAGCGAATCATATTGCAGCACACGTGCATGCGCACGATTTCATGATTTTTTTTAATCTCGCATTGTAGGATATCCTAATTCATGACTATGTTTTAAATTTCAAAGCATTTCGTAAAAAAACAAAGGTGATATAGTCATTTAAAGTGTTAGCCTATTAGATTGCAGCACACATGCATGCGCGTGATTTCATGAAATTTTTTCTATATCATATTGTAGGATATCCTAATTCATGACTATGTTTTAAATTTCAAAGCATTTCGTCAAAAAACAGAGAAGATACTGAGATTTTTGTTTTAGCCAATCAGAGCGAAGCGCACGTGCATGCGCGTGAGTTCGTGCTAATTTGACAGTGTCACATTATCTACACTATTAATATATCTTTATATAATGAGTTTCAAATCATTTCATAAAAAAATGTAAAAGTTATAGCTATATTACGTATATAAGCCATTTCACGTGTTGCACGCGCAAAATGACCCTCGTTCCGCACACCTACACTACACACCCATTAACCCTAAAAAGGTTTTAGGTCAGTTGGGTGAACAGTTTCTGAGAACACTCGCGGACAAAAAAGTACCGGAGAACAAATAAGAAAAAAAAAAATAATAATAATAACTAGTGCTAATTGTAACGGGAACCGTTACAGATGTTCCCCAAACGCTCCCCAACTCCCTTTTAGTGCCATATTCCCTGTAAGCCTTATTAAATAAGACAAACTCTGTGCATTTTTGACTTTAACAACGTTTTCCCAAAAGGATACCAATTATATTCAAATTTTAGCAGTGCACCCGTGAGCATGTGAATGCACGTGCATTATGATCATATAATCTTGTCTACACTATCTACATATTTTATTATACTAAATATTAAAGCATTCAGTGCAAAAGTATGAAAAATCACTCTTTCAAGTGTATTTTTCATTTCACTCGTTCCACATGCACGCACGTGCGTGCACGTGCATGATGACCATACCTTCTTGTAGGAGTAACTTATATCTATCTATATTCTAAATCCCATCCTGTTTGGTTGAAAAACAAGGGAGTTATAGCCATTTCAAGTTTAAGCCAATCAGATTGCAGCACACGTGCATGCGCGTGATTTCATGATTTTTTTTCTATATCATATTGTAGGATATCCTAATGCATGACTATGTTTTAAATTTCAAAGCATTTCGTCAAAAAACAAAGTAGATATAGCCATTTAAAGTTTCAGCCAATCAGATTGCAGCACGCGGGCATGCGCAAGCTTTCATGAAAATTCTTATATATCATGCTGTAGATCTTCATAATGTAGGTCTATGTTCAAAATTTCAAAGGATTATGACAAGAAACAAGAAAGATATTGAGACTTTAGTTTCAGCCAATCAGAGCGAAGCACACGTGCATGCACGTGCGATCTTGCTATTTTGACCATGTCATCTTGTGCATACCACTAATATATACTTATAAAATGAGTTTCAAAGTATTTCATCAATAATTTTAATAGTTACGTCTGTATCAATTATATTGGACATTTCTCGTGTTGCACGTGCGAGCTCTTGCAAGCACATGTGCATGCACATGCTTTCATGAAAAATCTTATATTACAGGCTGTAGATCTCCCTAATGTATGACTATGTTCAAAATTTCAAATGATTTTATCAAAAAACAAAAAAGATATTGAGACTTTAGTTTCAGCCAATCAGAGCAAAGCACACGTGCATGCGCGTGCGATCTTGCTATTTTGACCATGTCATCTTGTGCATACTACTAATATATCCTTACATTATAAGTTTCAAAACATTTCGTCACAAAATAGAAAAGTTACGGTTATATCCATTATATATTGGTCATTTTAAGTTTTGCACGTGCGTGCTCTTGCAAGCACGTGCGCGCAAAA